GAGGCTGAGCTCAGAGGGTGTCTGGCCGTTGACAAGCCATTGGACACTCTGTAGAATGCTGGATTGGGCATCTGCAAACCCTCCTATGAGAGCGGAACCTCAGTGACCCTGAACAGGCTGATTTGCCTTGTAAGTCCTAGTTTCACTGTTTTAACCTCTATGATGGGGATTAGACTAGCCCCCACCTCAGTGTTGGGAAGGCGCTCAGCAACGTGCAGCATGAATTTTATATTATTTTTATTACTACTGTGTGTGAGTGGTTCTCCCTGGTGGGGTACTAACACTCAGCTGAGAAGGTGGAGGTGGCCAGGCAAGTCCCAGATAGCGTCTGTGAACCCCACCCGGCCCTCCTGCAGATGGTGGTGTCCCTATGAGGCCCAGACCAAGTGGCAGGACTGATAAGGCCTCTTGTCCTGCCAAGGGCAGGCCCAGGCTGGGAAGAAGGGTCAGGGGTTTCAGTTTCCAAAAATCTACTTACCTTCAAAAAAGCAGGTTATGAAACAGTTATTTAAATGTAAAATGAGGAGGACTTAAGAGGTGTGGGGTCTTAGCAGAGAAGAGACTGAGGATGTCCCCTGTAGCAAGTGGAGGTTGGCCCTGGCACTTCATTGTCCAGGAGACACTGGTAGAACTTAGAGCTGGGACTCACTCTGGGACCATCTGCTCTGAACCTTATTACTGGTTGGGAAACTGAGGTCCAAAGTAAGGCCCACTGACCCTCAGGCCAGGGTGTGGCAATGATGTCTCATTTCTAACAGCCGATGAGGTGCAAACATGGACATGAGGGTGGCACTGGGATCCAGAGTGCTGCTGCGAGGCCAGGGACACACCCAGGACCTCTGTGGGCTGGGGTCATAGTGAGCTCCCTGCGCTTTCACCAGTTCGAGCGCTCATTATTATTGACTATAGTCAAAAGAATGAACAATGAGTGTCAGGAGGCCAACCCTGAGAGGGTAACTGGGGAAACAGTGGGATCCTTTGAGCCCAGAGATGGCCAGTCTGGAGCCCCAAGGTTCTGCCCATCAGGGCAGCAGCATGATTAGGTCAGAAGAGGGAGGTCTGAGTCACAGTCCTGCTCCATTCGCATGGTCGGTCGCACACAGACGCCCCGTGTCCCTGTGAGGAGTCCTCCATTACCACCACTGGCCACTGCCCTGGGTTCCCCCACCCCCATCTGTCCCATCTCACCCTTCCAGCCTCAAGCCCTGCTCCTGCATTCTCATTTCCATCCCAGAGGCACTCCTGGGAAGTGTGGGAGAACTCACAAACCTTTTGATTATACATGAAATCAAAACACACACAAGTGGGATAAAGACTTGCAAAATCTGTAACAGAGGTTATCTATTCCTTAGAAAGAACAGAGCCAAACCATCCAAGAACAGAAAACCTGTAAAGAAAATAAGAAAAGCAATTCTCTGCAAATAATCAAGTGATGCAGCTCACTCTCTCAATCAAAGAAATGCAACATAGAACAAGACGCCATTTTCCTTTCTGGGAATTTCAGGAAAAAAAAAAAAAAAAAAAGTTATGCAGTCCGGGTGTAGTGGCTCACGCCTGTAATCCCAGCACTTTGAGAGGCCGAGGCGGGTGGATCACAAGGTCAGGAGATCGAGACCATCCTGACTAACACGGTGAAACCCCATCTCTACTTAAAATACAAAAAATTAGCTGGGTGTGATGGTGGGCGCCTGTAATCCCAGGTACTCAGGAGGCTGAGGCAGGAGAATCGCTTGAACCCGGGAGGCGGAGCTTGCAGTGAGCTGAGATGGTGCCACTGCCCTCCAGCCTGGGTGACAGAGCGAGACTCCGTCTCAAAAAAAAAAAAAAACTTATGCAGCCCTGTGCAAGAAAACACACCTGTTGGTAGTGCTGAGCCATTTCAAATACACATACCCTTCACCCTGGTGAGGCCAACCCAAAAATCTGTTCTGCAAAATACACATTAGTGTCAGTGTTGGTGCAAGAGGGTTACTTGCAACAGTGAAAATGCTCACCCCTCAGTCTAGTGGTTAGGTTCTGATGCCTTTGATGTGCTTAGGAAAGTTCTGGAAGCAGCCAAAGAAGACCATTAACTTTAGTCACCACCTGGAGAAGCCTGGGATAGGGTGGGTGGGGTGATTTTTTAAAGAACAACTTTATTGAGATATAATTTACCATACCATACCAATTTGCATGCCATAAAGCTTATCCACTTGAAGTGTACACTTCCACGTCTTTTAGTGTATTCACATTCACAGAGCTGTGTGACCATTACCACAGTCAACGTTCCCCTTCAAAAAACCCGTATCTATTAACAATAGCTCCGTATTTCCCCTGACCCCCCCTCAGCTCTAGGCAGCCACTAATCTTTCTGTCTCTATGGATTCGCCTATTCTGGGCATCTTATATAAATGGAATCATATATTACCGTGTCTTCAAGATGAATTCATGTGCCGCACTTCATTCCTTTTTACGGCTGAATGGTATTCCCTTAAACGAACTATACCATATTCACCCATTCATCAGTTGATATACCCTCGGAATACTTCCACTTTGGGCTATTATGAATAATATTACTAAGAACACACATGTTTTTGTGTAGACATATGCTTTCATTTCTCTTGGCTATATATGTAAAAGGGGGATTTGCTGAGTGTCATGTTAACTCTAACCTTTCAGGAACTGCCGGCCTGTTTTCCACAACGAGTGTAGCCTGTTACATTCCCAGCAACAGGAGAGAGATTCCTGTTTCTCCACACCTCTGCTGACGCTTATTTTGTCTTTTTGATTATAGGCGTCGTAGGAGGTGTGATGTGGCATCTATTTGTAGTTTTGATTTGCATTTCCCTAATGCCTAATAATGCTGAGCATTTTTAATTTCTATTTTTTGTAGAGACGGGGTCTGGCACTTTTGCCCAGGCTGGTCTGGAGCTCCCGGCCTCTCAGCGCTGGGGTCACAGGCACGAGCCTCCACCGTGAGCTGAGCATCTTGTGGTGCTTATTGGCTCTTTGCATAATGCACTGGAAAAAATTCATATCCTTTGTGCATTTTTCAATTGATTGTCTTTTTATTGTTGAGTTGTAAGGTTCCTACATTCTAGATACAATTCCCTTATCAGATATGTGACTTACAAATATTTTCTCCCATTCTGTAGGTAGACTTTTAATTTTCTTGGTGGCGTCCTTTAAAGCACACATTTTTGTTTTGTTTTGAGATGGAGTCTTGCACTGTCACCAGGCGGGAGTTCAGTGTCATGATCTCGGCTCACTGCAACCTCCGCCTCCTGGGTTCAAGTGATTCTCCTGCCTCAGCCTCTGGGATTACAAGAAGGCGCCACCACACCTGGCTAATTTTTGTATTTTTAGTAGAGAGACGGGGTTTCACCACGTTGACCAGGCTGGTCTAGATCTCCTGATCTCCTGATCCACCCACCTCAGCCTCCCAAAGTGCTGGGATTTCAGGCGTGAGCCACCATGTCCGGCCGCACTAAAGTTTTTAATCTGGTGAAGTTTAATTTATTTTTCTGTAGTCGCTGCTGCACTGCCTCGTCCAAGGTCTCGAAGATCTCCTATCGGCTTCCAAGTGTTTGCTTTTTTTTTTTTTTTTTTTTTTTGAGACGGAGTCTCTCTCTGTGGCCCAGGCTGTAGTGCAGTGGTGCAATCTCGGCTCACTGCAAGCTCCGCCTCCCGGGTTCGAGCGATTTTCCTGTCGCAGCCTCCCGAGTATCTGGGATTACAGGCACGGACTACCGCGCCCAGCTAATTTTTTTTTTTTGTATTTTTAGTAGAGACGGGGTTTCACCATGTTAGCCAGGATGGTCTCGATCTCCTGACCTCGTGATCCATCCGTCTCGGCCTCCCAAAGTGCTGGGATTGCAGGCGTGAGCCACTTCTAACGGCCTTTTTCTTTCTTTTTTTTTTTTTTTTTGATTCGGAATCTCGTCGCTCTGCCGCCCAGGCAATGACGTGATCTCGGCTCACTGCAACCTCCGCCTCCCGGGTTCAAGCGATTCTCCTCCCTCAGCTTCCCTAGTAGCTGGGATTACGGGCGCCCGCCACCACGGCCGGCTAATTTTTTTGTATTTTTTAGTCGAGACGGGGTTTCGCTACGTTGGGCAACTCTTGACCTCGTGTTTCTCCCTCCTCGGCCTCCCAAAGTGCTGGGATTACAGGCGTGAGCTACCGCGCCCGGCCCGTATTTGGCAGTTTTAGCACTTAATTTTAAGTCTGTTTTAGCACTTAATTTAAGTCTGTGAGCCACTCAAGTGATTTTTACCTTTTTCCTTTTATCTTTTTATACTTTATATTTCCAAGTTTGAATTTTCTCTCCAAAGCAAGTGTTATTTTTAAAATGAAGAAACCAACATCAAGAGGGATGCTGACTCGACCCCGCGCCTTTCCCATCCGCACCTGTACCCCAAGCGAGACTCGGAGGGCTCCAGACAGCACCGGGGCGGCTCGGTGGCTTCCAGAAGGCCCTGCGCCTGCGCATTCCGCTGCCTGCGCCTGCGCCGTTCCCCCGGCTGTCGCCTCAGCACCTCCTCCGGGCAGTGTCGCCGAACTCTCGCGAGCTCGGAGGGTGGCACGTGGATTGATGACTGTCGCGCTGCTCCCTCCGCCTCCGGCCCGGGCTCCTGAGGACCCCTTCGCCTCCACTTCTGCCCTTCTCAGGCCCCCTCCGTCCCCGCCCTCGTCCTCCTCAGGCCCCCTCCTCCCCCGGCTCCGTCCTCCTGAGGCCCCCTCCGCCTCCACCCCTGCCCTCCTGAGGCCCTCTTCGTCCCCGCCTCCGTCCTCCACAAGCCCCCTCCGCCCCCGGCTGCGTCCTCCTCGCCCCCCTCCCCCGGCTCCGTCCTCCTGAGGCCCCTCCCCCACCCCTGCCCTCCTGAGGCCCTCTTCGTCCCCGCCTTCGTCCTCCACAAGCCCCCTCCGCCCCCGGCTGCGTCCTCCTCAGGCCCCCTCCGCCCCCGGCTGCGTCCTCCTCAGGCCCCCTTCGTCCCCCGGCTGCGTCCTCCTCAGGCCCCCTTCGTCCCCCGGCTGCGTCCTCCTCAGGCCCCCTGCGCCCCCGGCTCCGTCCTCAGGCTCCCTGCGCCCCCGGCTCCGTCCTCTTTAGTCCTCCTCCTCCCCCGGCTCCGTCCTCCTCAGGCCTCCTCCTCCCCCGGCTCCGTCCTCCTCAGGCCTCCTCCTCCCCCGGCTCCGTCCTCCTCAGGCCCCCTGCGCCCCCGCCTCTGTCCTCTTCAGTCCTCCTCCTCCCCCGGCTGCGTCCTCCTCAGGCCTCCTCCTCCCCCGGCTCTGTGCTCCTCAGGCCCCCTGCGCCCCCGGCTGCGTCCTCCTCAGGCCCCCTCCGCCCCCGGCCCCGCCCCCACGGCGGCATGCGGGACAACACCAGCCCCATCAGCGTGATTCTGGTGAGCTCGGGGAGCAGGGGCAATAAGCTGCTGTTCAGGTACCCCTTCCAGAGAAGCCAGGAGCACCCGGCATCCCAGACAAGTAAGTGAGCGCTGGGCGGGGGCCTGGCGCTCGCGGGGGCCGCCTCATTCCCGGGCCGCCTCGCGGAGCTTAGCTTTTGCTGGGCATTCGAGACCTGCTCGTTGTAGAGTATTTGAAAAGTAGAAAAAGGAAAAAAAATTTAAAAATTAAAATCATGCGTTGTTCACCACACCAGAGTAACTACTGCTGACATTTCATCAGTCTCCAGCCTTTAAAAAATAAAGTAAAATAAAATGAGTTTTGGATGTATTCATCTTGAGAAAATACAAAATTACGCAAACAAGGACAGTCGCTGTGGCCCACACCTGTAATCCCAGCACTGTGGGAGGCCGAGGCGGGCGCATCACCTGAGGTCAGGAGTTACAGACCAGCCTGGCCAACATGGTTGAAACCCCGTCTCTACTAAAAAAAAAATAGCCTACAAGAAATACGGAGCGGAGCTGCAGTGGCTGAATCTGCCACTCACTCCAGCTGACAGAGCGAACCGCTCAAAAAAAAAAAAAAAAAAAAAAAAAAAAAAAAAAAAAAAAAATAACCCCAAAAATTAGCCGGGCGTGGTGGTGCGTGCCCATAATCGCAGCTACTCGGGAGACTGAGGCAGGAGAATCGCTTGAACCCGGGAGGCGGAGGTTTCAGTGAACCAAGATCACACCACTGCACTCCAGTCTGGGCGACAGAGCGAGACTCCGTCTCGGAAAAAAAAAAAAAAAAAAGGTTGCCGGGCGCGGTGGCTCACGCCTGTAATCCCAGCACTTTGGGAGGCCGAGGCGGGCGGATCACAAGGTCAGGAGATCGAGACCACGGTGAAACCCCGTCTCTACTAAAAATACAAAAAATTAGCCGGGCGCGGTTGTGGGCGCCTGTAGTCCCAGCTACTCAGGAGGCTGAGGCAGGAGAATGGCGTGAACCCGGGAGGCGGAGCTTGCAGTGAGCCGAGATCGCGCCACTGCACTCTAGCCTGGGCGACAGAGCGAGACTCCGTCTCAAAAAAAAAAAAAAAAAAAAAAAAAAAGGTTATGCGACCATCTGAAGTTGTCTTTGCCACCCCCAGTTCCAGCCAGCACAAGGATCACCCCTGGCCGTGTTGGGAATTGTCTGCCCTGTGCATAGATGCAGATCTATCCACAGAAAAAGAGAACATTGCGTGAGGTTTTTCATTGCACGAATTGTTCTGTGGCGTCGACCTTGGAACTCTGTCTGCCTTTGCAAGCAGGGATCAACTTCACCCTTAACTGCAGGCTATTGCCTTCCCCTGTGGACGGCATGTAGGTTACTTTTGATTTTTCATCATCATGAATGTTCAGTTTCTGGTTTTATTTTATTTTTTGAGACGGAGTCTGGCTCTGTCACCCAGGCTGGAGTTCAGTGGCGCGATCTCGGCTCACTGCAAGCTCTGCTTCCCGGGTTCACGCCATTCTCCTGCCTCAGCCTCCCGAGTAGCTGGGACCACAGGTGCCCGCCACCACGCCCGGCTAATTTTTTGCATTTTTAGTAGAGACGGGTTTCACCGTGTTAGCCAGACTGGTCTTGAACTCCTAACCTCGTGATCCGCCCGCCTCGGCCTCCCAAAGTGCTAGGATTACAGGCTTGAGCCACCGCGCCTGGCCTAAAATTACTTTTGAACTTGTTGATATGGCAGAAAGTTTTAAAGATACAAAGGAGTTTAGATTATGAAAAGAAAGTTCTTTCCTACCACTGGCCCCCATTTTCCATCATAGGGGTAACTACTGTTACCATTTTTCTGTGTCTTTCCAGGACCTTCTGTGTAAATACAGGCGTATGCATTTCTTTTTTATTTTCATTTTTTGAGACGAGTCTCGCAGTCTCGCCAGGCTGGAGTACAGTGGCGCCATCTTGGCTCACCGCAACCTCCAACCCCCTGGTTCAAGCGATTCTCCTGCCTCAACCTCCCGAGTTGCTGGAATTACAGGCATGCGCCACTGTGCCCAGCTAATTTTCTTTTGTATTTTTAGTAGAGATGGGGTTTCACCATGTTGGCTAGGCTGGTCTCGATCTCCTGACCTCGTGATCTGCCCGCCTTGGCCTCCCAAAGTGCTGAGATTACAGGCATGAGCCACCGCACCCAGCCTGCACTTACGTTTTTTTAAAACTAAGCACAAGCAAAGGCACGCACACCATACACACTGTTCTGCCCCTGTTTTCATTTTCACTTCATGTCTGCATCTTTGATGTAGAATCAGAACCTGTCGAGCATCCTTGTTCTTTTTACCGGCCACAGTGAATTCCATGAGATGAACATATTGTGATTTGTTTATCTCGTCCTCTTCGTTGATGGACGTAAACTTGTTTTCAGTCTTTTGCTAATACGAAAAGTGCAAACGTCCTTTCCATGTATTGTCATTTGGCAGAATTCTTGTAATTTTTTTTTTTTTAAATGGAGTCTCACTCTGTCGCCCAGGCTGGAGTGCAGTGTGGCGCCTTCTCGGCTCACTGCAAGCTCTGCCTCTGGGTTCACGGCATTCTGCTGCCTCAGCCTCCCTAGTAGCTGGGACTACAGGTGCCTGCCACCATGCCCGGCTAATTTTTTTTTTTTTTTTTTAGTAAAGACGGGGTTTCACAGTGTTAGCCGGGATGGTCTCAATCCCCTGACTTTGTGATCCGCCCACCTCGGCCTCCCAAAGTGAGAATTCTTGTAATGTTAAATCCCCGAAGTAGCATGGTTGGGCCTAAGGGATAAGGAGCATTTTTTTTTTTTTTTTTGAGACGAGTCTGGCTCTGTTGCCCAGGCTGGAGTGCAGTGGCTGGATCTCAGCTCACTGCAAGCCCTGCCTCCCGGGTTCACGCCATTCTCCTGCCTCAGCCTCCCGAGTAGCTGGGACTACAGGCGCCCGCCACCTCGCCCGGCTAATGTTTTTTGTATTTTAATAGAGACGGGGTTTCACCGTGTTAGCCAGGATGGTCTCGATCTCCTGACCTCGTGATCCGCCTGTCTCGGCCTCCCAAAGTGCTGGGATTACAGGCTTGAGCCACCGCGCCCAGCCGCATATTTATTTTTATTTTTTTAATTTTTTATTTTATTTTATTTTATTTTTATTTTATTTTATTTTATTTTTTTTGAGACGGAGTCTCGCTCTGTCGCCCAGGCTGGAGTGCAGCGGCCCGATCTCAGCTCACTGCAAGCTCCGCCTCCTGGGTTCACACCATTCTCCCGCCTCAGCCTCCCGAGTAGCTGGGACCACAGGCGCCCGCCACCTCGCCCGGCTAATTTTTTGTATTTTTTAGTAGAGACGGGGTTTCACCGTGTTAGCCAGGATGGTCTCGATCTCCTGACCTCGTGATCCGCCCATCTCGGCCTCCCAAAGTGCTGGGATTACAGGGTTGAGCCACCGCACCCGGCCGCATATTTATTTTTAATAGGTTAGATTTTTCAATCTTTGTTAATCTGGTAGGTGAAAAATTGTATCTGGTAGTAATTTTAATGTTTATTTGGCTTTCAATTGAGATAGAAAGCGTGTTTTCCTGTTTTTGGAGCCATTTGGATTTCCTTTTCAGTGACTTATTTATAACCTTTGCCTAATGTTCTCTTGGGTTGTTTGATTTTCTTTCCTTATAGATTTGAAGGAGTTCTTTATATATTTAATGTAAAAATAGGTCTTGTGACAAAGCTATAGTTACCCTGTTTGCTTCTGTGTAGTTCTTGCCAGAGTTTTGATTTTTATGGAGTTTTCAGTGTAATCTCTTGTGGTTTCTTAGTTTTGTTTTAAACAGAAAGACGTTCTGCTCTCCAAAATTATTTTATTTTAGTTTTTTGAGTCGGAGTCTCCCTCTCGTGCCCAGGCTGGAGTGCAGTGGCCCGATCTCGGCTCACTGCAAGCTCCGCCTCCCGGGTTCACACCATTCTCCTGCCTTAGTCTGTAGTAGCTGGGAGTACAGGCACCTGCCACCACGCCCGGCTAATTTTTCATACTTTTAGTAGAGACAGGGGTTTCACCGTGTTAGCCAGGATGGTCTCGATCTCCTGACCTGGTGATCCACCTGCCTCGGCCTTTTAAAGTGCTGGGATTATAGGCGTGAGCCACCGCGCCTGGCTCTGCTCTTCAAAAGTATTAACAACAACAATAAAAAACTCCCTTATTTTCCTCCAGACTATTTATGTCTTTATTTTTTTTTTTTGAGACAGAGTCTCTGTCACCCAGGCTGAAGTGCAATGGCATGATCTCGCCTCTCTGCAACCTCCACTTCCCGGGTTCAAGTGATTCTCCTGCCTCAGCCTCCTGAGTAGCTGGGTCTATAGGTGTGTGCCACAACGCCCGGCTAATTTTTGTATTTTTAGTAGAGACAGGGTTTCACCATATCGGCCAGGCTGGTCTCGAACTCCTGACCTCGTGATCTGCTTGCCTTGGCCTCCCAAAGTATGTCTTGTTTTTAAATGTGTTTGTCTTGGCATAAGGTGAAGGCTCATCCTAAGAATTGATATTTTCTGGACACTTGGGAAGAGTTGTGGATGAACTGCTTGGTTGCCTTTGGAACCCTGTGGAACAGGAGTTATAACAGGCCACAGTGTGGCCAAATGGTGATTGATTGGGCCAACATAATTTTCTTGTCCATATGGCTATCTGGTTCCAATATAATTTTATTGAATAATTCACCTTACTTCCACTAATTGATTTTTCTGTCTTTATCATGTGCTAAATTCTCATGTTTGCTTGGATCTGTTTTTTGATCTTTCTTATCTCCTCCAATGATCTGTCTATGTGTAGGTTCCATAATAATTAATTACTATTACTTGATATTATGTTAGACTATCACGTTAGGTTAGTCCTTTGTCATTACTTTTCTTTTTCAGCATTATCCTGACTATGCTTTATTATTTTTCCCTGTAAACTTTAGCATCAAGTGTATTAGGTCCCACTCCCAAGCTCTTGGTGTAGGTAGCTTTGAATCCGTTGATTAACTGTGAAGAAAAAGCATCTTTATGTTGAATCTTCCCTGTCAGGAACGTGATATGTCTTCTATTCATTCTTTTCTCCCTTATTAGC